CCTGGAGGTCGAAGGCGGCGCGGAAGACCGACAGGCGGTGCAGCACCGTGCGTGTGTCGTCGTCCAGCAGGTCGTGGCTCCAGTCCAGCAGGGCCTGCAAGGTCTGGTGACGCGGCAGCGCCGTGCGGCGACCGCGGCGCAGCAGGCGAAAGACATCGTCCAGCCGGTCCGCCAGTGCCTGCAGGCCCAGGCTGCCCACGCGCGCCGCAGCCAGTTCGATGGCCAGCGGCATGCCGTCGAGGTGGCGGCAGATCCTGATCGTTGCCGCCAGGTTCGCGGGCGACAGGCGAAAGTCATTCGCGCTCGCGGTCGCGCGTTCGACGAAGAGCCGCAGCGCCGAGAAGGCGAGCGCGTCCTCGACATTCGACGCGGTCTCGGCGGGCGGCACCGCCAACGGGTCGAGGCGGTAGACGGCCTCGGTCTCGGCCTCCAGCGGTTCGCGGCTGGTGGCCAGGATGCGCACCCGCGGCGCGATGCGCAAGACACGCTCCGCAAGCTCGGCGGCCGCTGCGGCGAGGTGTTCGCAGTTGTCCAGCACGATGAGCAGGTCGCGCGGCGCAAGCGCCTCTTCCAGGATAGGCCAGGGCAACGGGTCGGGCGCGGCGACGCCGATCGCCGTTGCCAGGGCATGGGGAACCACCGATGCGTCGTCGAGCGGCGCCAGGTCGACGAAGCACGCGCCGTCGGCATGCCGCGCGGCGGCCGACCCGGCGAGTGCGAGTGCGACCGTCGTCTTGCCCATGCCGCCGGGCGCCACGATGGTGACGAGCCGGGACCGCGCCAGCTTGAGGGACAGCACCGACAACTCCTGCTCGCGGCCGACGACGCCCGTCAACCGGGAGGGCAGCAGGCTGAGCGAAATCGGCGCAGCCGCAGCTACGAAGCTCGCCGTCACGGCCGGCGCACCGGGTGCGCGCGCCTGCGTGACCTGTGTGACCTGTGTGACGGCCATGACGAAGCTGTAGCCCCGCCCGGGCAGGCTGGCGATGTAGCGCTTGCCGTCCACGCCGTCGCCGAGCGCCTTGCGCAGCGACGACATGTGCACGCGCAGGCTCGATTCCTCCACCACCGTGCGCGGCCAGACCTGCGCGAACAGGTCGTCATGGCTGACCACGTCGCCGGCCCGCTCGACCAGCGCGATCAGCAGGTCCAGCGCGCGGCCGCCCAGGCGCACGGTGCGCCC